GCTCAGGGGAGACCTTCTGGCCCCCGATGACTCCCTGAAAGGAGGTTGGAGTGAGGTGGGTGTTGGTCTCTTCTACCACATAACCAGGGTTAGGATGAGAGGCAATGGGCTGAAGTTGCACCAGGGGAGGTTTCAGCTGGATATGAGGTAGAATTTGCTTCCTGGCAGAGTGGTGAGGCCTTGGCCCAGGCTGCCCAGGAAGGTGCTGGAGTCCCCATCCCTGGAGGGGTTCGAAACACTTGTGGAGATGGCAGTTAGGGACATGATTTAGTGGTTCTGGTAGTGTTGGGTTGATGGTTGGACTTGATCTTAGAGGTCTTTCCCAACCTTAATGATCCTATGATTTTATAATTCAAGATATTTGTGTATCCCAAATTAATAAAACACTAACATCTCTTCTGTGCCCAGTGCAGCTCCCTTCCCGTTGTGGTACACCAGCCACCAGCTCTCCAGTCAGCTACACCTCTCAAAGGCCTCTCTTTTTTCCTTATGCACTGCTCTGTTTTCCACAGACCTCAGCATGACCTGTGACAAGCACATGTGGGTGTCTGACAGATAAACCAGAGGGTTCATTTTGGCACGTGTGATCATTTAGCTGCAGGAGTCAGCTCTGGAGCGCAGTGGTGCCCCAGGCAGTGCTGCTGCTTTGCATTTGGACATTCTTACCCATTTGTATATTTTTTCCAAGTATCCGCAGCTACTTCAGGTGTCTGATCAAAGTGCTGCTAAAGCATATTTGCTCTGACTTAGAAGTATGAATCCATGGAGGTAGTGTTTCAAGAAACTGTGATAAATCCTAGATGCTGTGACTTGTGTAGGAGCTTACTTTAAAGGGGTGAGCCTCTTCTGTGGGATCCTGACTAAGGAAAGCAAAGTGATAAGTACTTTTTTTTTAACTTTCTTGGAAATTTGGGGCAATCCCAAGCACAACCTCAGGCTGGGTGGAGTGTGGATTGAGAGCAGCCCTGAGAAGGACCTGGGGGTGCTGGTTGATGAAAAGCTCAACATGAGCCAACAGTGTGCGAGTGCTGCTCAGAAAGCCCCAAAGCAGCCTGGGCTGCACCCCCAGCAGCGTGGGCAGCAGGGCAGGGAGGGGATCCTGCCCCTCTGCCCCTCTCTGGGGAGACCCCCCTGCAGTGCTGGGGCAGCTCTGGAGTCCTCAGCACAGCAGAGACAGGGACCTGCTGGAGCGGGGCCAGAGGAGCCCCAGCAATGACCCGAGGGGGGAACCCCTCTGCTGGGAGCCCAGCAGGAGAGAGTTGGGCTTGGGCAGCTGCAGAGGAGAAGGCTGCAGCTGGGGAGACCTTCTGGGGGCCTGCCAGGACTTCCAGGGAGCCTACAGGAAAGATGGGGACAGACTTTTTACAAAGGCTTGTAGCGATAGGATGAGGGTTAATGGTTTCAAACTGGAAGAGGTGAGATTTAGATTGGGAATTAAGAAGAAATTTTTCACTCTGAGTGTGGCATGACCCTGGCCCAGGTTGCCCAGGGAAGCTGTGGATGCTCCATCCCTGGAGGTCTTGAAGACTAGGTTGGACAGGGCCTTGTTCAACCTGCTGTAGTTGCAGGTGTCTCTGCTCCCTGCAGGGGTGTTGGGCTGGATGGCCTTGAAAGGTCCCTTCCAACCCAAACCATTCTGTGATTCTGTGGAGTTTGGTGTGGTGAAGGGTTCTGAGCACAGCCTTAACTGACTGTTCCTTTCCAAGGAGTCTGTGTGGACTAAGAAACGTGGACCTATATCAACAGTCTGCACGTGAGGTCAGATTCAGGTAAGGAAAGGTAATTTTAAAAACTCTGTGAGGCAGAGTAGTACCTAGTAAGGAGGGTTGTTTCTGTAGATTGAGCCATCTATTTCCAGAGGATATTTGTCACAGTGCAGACATCTCCATGAATAAAGCTCAAATTAATGTGCTGCAATCACTTATATAGTGATTGCTAATTCTAAGCAATATATTTCTCATCTATGTGGGCTATTGAAATCACTCCTATGATCCTTAACTGTGTCCTTCAGTGTCCAGGAGTGTGCTTTGTCTACCATTTAGTTGTCCATCTTACTGCAGTCTCCGTTGATCCGGCGGATGCCAACGTGCGAGAAAAAAACTATCTAAGGCCTCTGGCCACCTTCAGTCGTAGCCAGCATGCACATGTCATTGAAAACCATCATTGCCATGTCTGTGATGTAGATGTGTAAGTATCTTTTCTTTTCCTTCTACTCCCCTGTCTTCTTCACCATTCTACTTCACCGTTAGACTGTGAGATCCAAATGGAGCCCCTGAAACTGCAGAGCACCAGTTAAACTTCATCCCGTGGCAGAGTTCAGTGAGTTGGGTAGGTGCCTGCTGTCCAGTTTCCGTGCGTTTCTGGGCTTTATTGACTTGCTCACTTGCTGTGTGGAGAGGACTGTGCTGTTCGGTGTGATCTGGATGTTGGTGTTTGACCTGCCAACATGTAACTTCTGTGTGCGTGCTGGTATCTGGCTAGATGCTGATTCAGCAGCAGGAAATGCTTGGAGGGCAGATGTGAAGATCAAGTTTTGTAGAACTGCTAGAGGGTTTCAAATATGCAATCAGTGATCTGTGAATTAGAAATCACACGATGCATTGAAGGGCAAATTTTGGAGTGTTTAAGGATTGTGGTCCAATGATGCATAGCAGAGACAAGGACCTGCTAGAGTGGGGCCAGAGAAGCCCCAGCAATGACCTGAGGGGGGAACCCCTCTGCTGGGAGCCCAGCAGGAGAGACCTGGGCTTGGGCAGCCTGCAGAGAAGAAGGCTCCAGCTGGGGAGACCTCCTGGGGGCCTGCCAGGAATTCAAGGGGCCTGTTAGAAAGCTGGGGACAGACTTTTGAGCAGGGCCTGTTGGGACAAGACAAAGGGGGATGGTTTGAAACTAGAAGAGGGAGATTTAGACTAGATATAAGGAAGAATTTTGCACAGGGAGGGTGGTGAGCCCCTGTCCCAGGCTGCCCCAAGAGGTGGTGGATGCCCCATCCCTGGAACCATTCCAGGTGAGGTTGGCCGGGGCTCTGAGCAACCTGCTCTAGTTGGGGATGTCCCTGCTCCCTACAGGGGGTTGGTCTGGATGACCTTGAAAGGTCCCTTCCCACCCAAACCAGTCTATGATTCTGTGGTGGCTGGTGTGGCTGATATGTTTGGGTGTTAAAGTATCCCTGATGTAGAAGTCTTTCTCAGTATTACCAGGATCTCTACGGCAGCATCCCCCTGGATTTGTGTCACTGGAAAGTCATGGTAGTGAGCTGGTGTCACCACGCTAACACCACCCTCTCTTTGGCAGGAGTGCGAAGTCAAAGCACTGTGGAACTTGCAACAAGTGTGTGTGTGGCTTTGATCACCACTGCAAATGGCTCAACAACTGCGTGGGAGAGAGGAATTACTGGTAAGAGCCTGACATTGTGACAGGAGCACAAAACTGCGTCAGTAATGCCGCCCCTTCTCTTCCCAACATTCGCCTGCATCTCACTCCAGGCTGTACTCAGCCACACAGAACCACTTTTCTTTCAGATCCTGGCTGAATAAAATCAGTCATCAGAAAACTAGGTGGAAAATGCAAGTGTGACTATGGCATTCAAATCACCAGGGGCAAAACTCCTACGCTTAGAATTTTGTAGCTGAGTAGCCAGTATCTGGAGTGGGTCTACAAGAAAGCTGGGGAAGGACATTTTGCAAGGGTTTGTAGTGACAAGACGAAGGGCAATGGGTTCAATCTGGAAGAGGGAAGGTTTAGATTAGAAATGAGGAATAAACTCTTGACCATGAGGGTGGTGAGACACTGGTTGCCCAAGGTAGTTGTGGATACTCCATCACTGTGTGTTCTCAAGACCAGGTTGGACAAGGCCTTGTTCAACCTGCTCTAGTGGGAGGTGTCCGTGCCCATGGCAGGGTGTTGGAAATAAATGATCTTTAAGGTCCCTTCCAACCTAAACCAGTCTGTGATTCCATGATTCTATGATCTACAAGTTAAAACAGAGAAAATAAGCTTAGTATCTGATGTCAGTAAAAGCTTCTTGGATGTTAGCTGGGTGTCCTTAATGCTTCTGGGAGCTGGAGTGGGAACAGAACCGTGATGGTGCTTTTCCTGTGTCTGAAACAACCTGCATCCAGATCCATTCCCTACAACACTTCTCAGTTGGCAGGAGTTAGAGCAGCATATAGGCACCCCTTATCTGTGCCAGCTTCAGGAGAAAGAATGAGGAGGTTATCACTGGTTACTGCTTCTCAATTTACTAAATTTACTTCACTAAAACCACATGGCAAGCAAGGAGTTGTTACTGCTGGGTGCCACGTTACATTACCTTCATATTTGGTGCAGGGAGCTCTTTGTCTTAGATCTAGGTGACTGTTTTGTAAGCACAGTTGCTCTAAACAGCCACAGTTTAGTCCCTCAGAATAACAAATCAGAAGCAAGACTGTCCACCAGTATCTATAAGAAGTGTAAGAAATTTGGGATAGGTGTCTACATCACCAGTATCTATCAGAAGTGTAAGAAAATTGGGATAGGTGTCTACATCTCCATCTTTATTCGAGGCTGGGGTGTTGGAAAGGACGTGTGATGTTACTGAAGCTGCTCAGACTTCTCACCTTCTCGGCAGGCTCTTTCTGAACAGCGTGCTCTCTGCCATTCTGGGCCTTGGGCTTCTGCTCCTTGTCGCTTGCTACATCTTCGTGGAGTTCTTCATTGACCCCGGGATGCTTCGCTCCGACCAGCACTTTGAAGGTACTAGCAGGGCTTCAGCTGAGCATCCTGTGAGCCAGCCAGCATGCCCCAGATGGATTCTGGGGGCTCTCCCACGAGGAGGAGCTCCATGCCCTACTCCTCTAGTTTTCTGTATCTGTGAGAGTATCTCTGCTCAATAATTTCCAGCTGTTAAGTTTATTAATTTCATACCTGGACAATCTTCTTACCTCCATCTTGTTGTTTTACAGCTCTCAGGAACCACACAGACCGCTGGTTTGTGTTTCTTCCTGCAGCCCCTGTTGAGACTCAGGCACCTGCCATTTTGGTCACGGCTGGGATTTTTATTCTTCTGAGCCTAATGACCGTGATCCTGCTGGGCCACCTCCTGACCTTTCACATCTATCTCAGTAGGTGTTTTGTTCCTGTCACCTGCATCCCCATTTCGTTTTCTTCTTAGCCTCTTCTACTCATGCTGCACTCACTGTGTGTTCACCTGTGTCACAAAGACACCCACGTTGTGCAAGTTTGCCGTTGAAAGGGTAGAAAATTTGGGTTTACTTCTGTTTTTCCCTCAGCACCGCATTGGCTTACCAGTGCATGTGCAATTCGGAGCTTGCGTTGGGCCTCTGCACTCCAGTGTCTAAGCTGTGCTCTCCTGGAACTGAAAGCAGACAGGAGAACAGCAAAGAAGCCAGCTGGGATGAACTGGTTGATCCAGCTCAGTACCAGTGACCAGCAGACTCAGACTGGCCCTGCATATGGGCTGTCGTGGGTCTCTTCACTGTGCTCCCCAGGGCTTCCATGGTGTGAGAGAGCCTCTTCTCCCTTACCCTCGAGAAACATGGATGGTGTTCATCTAAATTTCTAATAGGAGACCTGATGTCCAGGGGCAGTGATGCCAAAACTAGGGAAGAAGGGTTGTGGTGCAAGAGAAATGAGGACGGCGGTCAGAGAGGACCCTTGGCTGGATTTTTAGGTTGTCAGTAAACAGCGACACAGATGCCAACACAAACTAGGTCAGCAGAAACCAGTGCAGCTCCAGAAGCAAAGCAGCTGCACTGCTCAAGCGTAGCGTTGGATGGGTGAGTGTTCCTCAGCTGGGTTTAACACCTGAGGGCCACGTTTTCCTTTTACAGCCTCCTTGAACCTGGCTTAAATTGGGTCACTCAGTGATTTTGCTTTCTTGGTGGAATTGGAAGTTGACTTTGCCGGGTTCATGGCGATGCCTGGAGATTTCAAAGGTCGGTCTAGCACTGCAGAAAGACTAAAAGCTTAACAAAGCTGGGATCGCTCCAGGAAGGGTTCTTCTGGGTGAAGAAGGAAGGATTCAGTTTAGTGGTGAGCAGTATTTATCCTGTCTTTGTGTGCAGCTTCCACAAGAGGGTGCTCCCTCCTTGGGATAAAGATTTGTCCAACGTGTCTGTGTTACTAGTTTTGCTGAGTTTGGGGATTTTTTTGTTGCTGTTGCCTTGGGGTGACTTTTTTTCCTCTTCCAGAATAAATTCTGAGACAAATTAACTTTTCTTTCTAGCCAAATTTTAAATCTTTTTGACTTACGTGGAAACAGAATTGAATTCTAGTTAATTTTTGTTAACATTTTATTACATTAAAATCTTAAAAACCTTAGAGAAACTGGTTCCAGCTCTGCAGAATTCTGCTGTGTAAGTCCTTGATGTCACCATATGGAAGCCTAAATTGTGTGTTCCATATGAGTATGCATCACACTTACAGAGATACATAAGGTATATCTGGTTTAAATTCCTTTTATTTCATACCTGCCAACAGTCTCATCTGAATGCTTTAAGGTAGACAGTGTTGGAATGAATTTCCTAACCTCTTTTGGGAATAGAAATACAGTTTAGCAATTATAACTACAGTTTGTATTTCTTCATAAAGCTTTTTTAAAGAAAAATAATTATAGTAAGAAAATAAATAGTAAGAAAACTAAATAGCTCTATTAAAACATTGTAAAAGTTACACTGTTCAGAATTCAGAAACCAACAAACTCTACCTTAAAAATGCTTTAAACCCCTTTGTTTATGAAGCAATAGTCTGTTCCTCAGCTGAAGGATGAGGTACTGTTCTAGGAGCATTTTCCAGCACCCTGCACTGTCCCCATTAAGTGCATTCACTAATCACTTGGCTGCAGACTCACACTCATTTTTATGCTCTGTTTTCATGGCCAAATGGATCTTGAATTGTTATTTCTCCATAAGGTCATTGCTTTGACAGGAGGGGCTTCTCCTAAGCTTTCTCCATTCCCTGTGAAGTTTTCCCATGTTTAGGGCATGGCTTTGAGAGGTGAGATTCCACTGGCTTAAATGTCTTCAGGCAGAGGAAGGGTTTTAGTCTGGAGGTCCCACATCCAAGGCATCTGCTGTAATTCCTGTGCTTCTGTAATAAGGAAAACTCAACACCAGGCTGTGCACTAATTATGTTCACCATCCATTTCTGGGGTTTGTGCTCTGAAAAAAAATGTACTGTAACAGAGTCGTTTGAGTTTTGGATCCTTGTAACATTTTGGGTCTCATGAAGAAATGTAGCAGCTCAGAAATGTCCTGTGCTTTTGGTCATTCGTGGAAGCAGATGTGTTTGTGTGTGGGAGTCCTTAAGAGCACATAAACTCAGGCACATGTAAATTCTGGGCACATCTATGTGGCACAAGGCAAGTGGTGCATTTAGTGCTCCCTGTTTTCATAGAATTCTGGAATGCTTTGGGTGGGAAGGGACCTTTCAAGGCCATCCAGTGCAGCTCCCCTCCAGGGAGCAGGGACATCTGCAATGAGAGCAGGTTGCTCAGAGTCCTGTCAAGCCTGACCTTGAATGCCTCCAGGGATGAGGTATCAACCACCTCTCTGGGCAGCCTGGGACAGGGGCTCACCACCTTCATAGTGAAGAACTTCCTCCTAATGTCTAATCTAAATGTCCACTCCTCTAGTTTAAAACCACTGCCCCTCATCCTATCGCCACACACCCTTATAAACAGTCCTTCCCCAGCTTTCTGACAGGACCCTTCAGATACTGACAGGCCCCCAGAAGGTCTCCCCAGCTGGAGCCTTCTCCTCTGCAGCTGCCCAAGCCCAACTCTCTCCTGCTGGGCTCCCAGCAGAGGGGTTCCCCCCTCGGGTCATTGCTGGGGCTCCTCTGGCCCTGCTCCAGCAGGTCCCTGTCTCTGCTGTGCTGAGGACTCCAGAGCTGCCCCAGCACTGCAGGGGGGTCTCCCCAGAGCAGGGCAGAGGGGCAGGATCCCCTCCCTCAATCTGGCCACACTGGACTTAAAGTCCACCTTACAGACTTTCAGTGTCTCAATCTCCCCCATGGGATACACTAACCTGCTGAATTTCTTTTCTCCATCTATCTTCACACACCTTCTGACTACACACTGAGCTCTCTGCAGGGTACAGATCTTACCCTTCTCGGGTGTGAAGAATGGATTTGCTCTGAAAGAAGCTGAACAAATTCTTGCAGTATAGGAAATTACCACCATGTATCTGAAGCTTTAGAAGAATAGTGAGACTATGAGAAAGTGTTGTGACAATGATAATAATAAAGGATATAGTAAGATGCACAGTGCAAAGGTTCTTTTGGCTTCAAGTATCACTCTTTCTGTGTTTATAGTTACTATTTGATTGTGTAGTTATCCAGACTGTTTGGGTAGGTGTGGTTGGGGAGCAGCCTTCCCTGCACTGACAGCTCTCTCTCTTTCCTCCCAGTGTGGAACAAACTGACTACATATGAGTACATCCTGCAGCAGCGTCCCCACCAAGAGGTGAAAGAGGCAGACAGGCAACTGGAATCTTGTCCCTCACAAGCAAGACCCAGTCAGGTACTTCCAGTCCATTTCTCCAAACCAGCCTCGCTTGTCCATGGCATCAAGTTTGTTTCTCTTTTGCAAGCTCCAGATTTTAGAGGCAGTTGCTAAAGATAAGGCTTCAGAGGTTCTTTGGTGGAGCTGAGTTGGATGTGAGAGTGTAAAGCCTGTCGTTTGATGAGCACTTCAGTGAATAATCAAGTCCTGCTTTCAAAGGAATTCATCCCACCCATACTCTTCATCCACCGCTTGTTTTGGGCCCTGCACTGTCTCTTCTGCCAGCACAGCTGTTTGTTGCAGTCACGCAGTGAACAGGGCGGGGGAACTCAGCTGGGCAAGAATAAACTTTAAAAATAATAGCTGAGCTCGTGTTTAGCTGGCCCAGCTCCCTCCCGTTTGGTTCAGCAAGCAGGCACAAAAGTGCCTGTGTCAGCATGATGGAGCAGGAAGGGTCCTGGCACTGGACCGGACAGGACACTCCTCACAAGTGCTGTCCCCAGGGCTCAGTACTGGGGCCTGTTCTGTTTCATCTCTTTATCAATGAGCTGGTCAAGGGGATCCAGGGCACCCTCAGAAAGTTTGTGGATTATATGAAGCTGGACGGGAGTGTGGACAAGTTTGTGGGTAGAAAGCTCTTCAGAATGACCTGGCCAGACTGGATCAAAGAACTGAGGCCACTGGGATGAGGTTCACTGGGATGAAGGCCAGGCGCTGGGTTCTGCAGGTGGGTCACAACCACCCCCTGCAATGCTCCAGGCTTGGGGATGAGTGGCTGGAAAGTGTCCAGTGGAAAAGGACCTGGGAGGGGTTGGTGGACAGCTGACTGGAGATGAGCCAGTGTGTGCCCAGGTGGCCAAGAAGGCCACCAGCATCCTGGCTTGGACCAGCACTGGTATGGCCAGCAGGACCAGGGCAGGGATTGTCAAATCCTGGGGTCAGTTTTGGGCCCCTCACTCCCCAAAGGACCTTGGGGGCTGGAGCATGGCCAGAGAAGGGCAACGAAGGGGAGGGTCTAGAGCCCACATATGGTGAAGAGCAGCTGAGGGACCTGGGGGTGCTGAGCCTGGAGCAAAGGAGGCTCAGAGGAGACCTTCTGGCTCTGCACAGCTCCCTGACAGGAGGCTGGAGCCAGGTGGGGGTCGGGCTCTTCTCTCAAGGAACAAGGGATAGGACAAGAAGAAGCGGCCTCAAGTTGCCCCAGGGGAGGTTTAGGTTGGACATGAGGAAAAATGTTTTACACACAAGGGTTGTCAAGTCTTGACTCAGGCAAGAGGTGGAGTCTCCATTCCTAGAGGGGTTTAAAAGTCAGGTAGGTGTGGTGTTGAGGGACATGGTTTAGTGGTGGTCTTGACAGTGTTAGGTTAATGGTTGGACTCAATGATCTCAGAGGTCTTTTCCAACCAAAATGATTCTATGATCTGTTTGGGTGGCAGTGCACATCTGGGTGGCTGCTGTGGGCAGTGTCACAGGTCACAGCTGACAGGGAGACAGGCTCTAGGGCTGAAGAAACTGGGACTAAGCATCAAGCAGCTCATTATACCAGTTTCATCACCTGGAAAGGGCAGAGGACACCAGTCGTGTTCAGAAATGACCCAGATAGCTGCTTTTCTTTGAATTGAGTCTACACAGTGACGAGGGCACTTGTGGTGACCATGGTACAAATTCTACAAGCTCTTTGATGCTCTTATGCTCCACAGTGGTGTATATATTCCACTATGAATTGAAAGCTCCAGTGTCATTTATTTTGCTTTATCTCTGGCGTTGCTCAAAATTTGACTGGATGAATTCTGTACTGGTTTTCACAGGGGGTTGGACAAGAAACTTCCAGGAATTCTTCGTAGTCTAAATTATTCTGCCATCCCATGTAACTCTAGATTTATGCAAGTAAGTTACCTATTGCACCACCAGTTTTATATTTAATAAGAAATTAATTAAATCCAAGATTTAATTAATCTTGGAGATAGATAATAGAGATGCTGGGATATCCATGGGCTCATTCTTATTTTTTTTCCTATGAAAGCGAAGGGGTGAGTGAGCTAATTCCTCTTCTGTATAATATGGAGACCCCCAGCTTTTCAGATATTTTTTTGTTGGCTTGGAAAAGTTGAACTTTCACTTTAAACAGAGGTTTCCATAGCAACAAAAATATTTGGCACTTTGTCTCATAGAAGCGTTGCTTACCATGAAAATTAAAACAATAATAAAGCATTAGCTCTAATCACTTCCTAGTTACTGAATTTTGATTGATGCTGTAACTATAGCTGAGCAGGGGTGAGCTCTGTGTGGGTGCACGTTTGGGATGTAGCCATTCAGTGATGTTCTCCTGTCTGTGCTGGTGCTTATCAAGAAGACGGGTGAATAGTTCAAAGCAGCAAGCCTGGAAGAAGCAGGGTGAGAAGGAGCTGTGTGCTTCAGGGCTGCAGTCAGTACCCTGGGGAACAAGACAGGCTGGATGATGCCCAGTAACTTTGTTAAGAAAGATGTTAACCCACCAGATTTTCCTTGTTTCTTACATAGCAACCAGAGATAAACACAAACAAACAGATTGGAGTAGGAGTCCACCAAGTGACTTGCCTTTTGTAAGGTGTGTTGACTGCAGCCTTCTTTAGCTTGAACACAGAAATCCTTTGTAATTGATCCAAGATGCTGTGAGCATAAAATGGAAATCATCCTCTTCCCGCTTTTGTGTTAACCGGCCATTCATTTTAGGGAGCAAGAGGAGACCCAGATTTCCCCTTTAATCCTTGGGTTTGAGCCTTATTCAAACTCGGGTGTTGGTTTTGGCTTCAGTTTTCCATGTTTGCCTGTGGCTGAGTCTTCAGCTGTGTTCAGGTTAAAGGATTCTTGTTCAGGTTAAAGGATTCTTCTGTGTCTGTGAAATCCCTCTAAGAGCATGCACAAAGTAAAAGCTCTAATTTTACACACTCAGGTGGCTCAGATGTCACAAAAGATGCTGTATATGTCCTACTGCTTTGCCTTTACCTCTGCCACTGTACCCAAAATAGCCCCTGCAAATAACAGGTTTTTTCTATAAGTGGTTGCATAGCAGTCTGAGGAAATACAAACTAAACCAAAAACATTTGGTGTTTTAGTTATGTTTTAATGCATAGTTGCTTTCATAGTAAGGCCAGCTGGGGTGTGATTTTTTTCACATTCATAAAGCTTTGAACTTGCTTTAGATACTGATTCAGGTTGGTGAGATTTGGTTTTAAGTGATAAATGTGGATTTTATTCAGCTGATCTCACATTTGCAGTATTGCTTCTCTCTTCCAATGCCTGGTTCAAATGAATCTCGTCTTCACTCTCAGCCCCAACACTTGCAACAGACTCAGTTTTCCTGGAACAAGAACCACTTTTTCCTGACCAGCTCTGACAAGGCAACGCTTCATGGCACTGCCTGTCGCTGGAGCGGGTGGTGGGAGCAGCTGCAGTGGGCAAGGGAGCTGAATTCGTCCTGAAGTTGTAACCATGAAACTTGAGGTGGACACAGCTGGTCTGTCTGGACCAGCGGGGCTGTCTGTGGCCTTTGACATGGTCCCCCCACAACATCCTTCTCTCTGAAGTGGAGAGGTATAGGTTTGGTGGGTGGACTGTTTGGAGGATAAGGAGTTGGCTGTGATGTGGCATCCAGAGGGTAGTGGTCAATGGCTCATTGTCCAGATGGAGACTGGAAACATATGATATCCCTCAGGGGTCCATACTGGGACCAGTGCTGTTCAGTATCTTCATCAATGACAGAGACAGTGGGATCGAGGCACAATCAGCAGGTTTGCAGGTGACACCAAGCTAAGTGGTGGGGTTGACACACCTGAGGGGCAGGATCCATCCAGAGGCACCTGGACAAGCTGGAGAAGTGGGCCTGCGTGATCCTGTTTGGGTTCAGCCAGGGCAAGTGCAAGGTCCTGCCCCTGGGTTGGGGTGAACCCCAGTGTCAGCACAGGCTGGGGGTGAAGGACTGGAGAGCAACCATGGGGAGAAGGACCTGGGGGTGCTGGGGGTGCAGAGCTGGCCAGGAGCTGGTCTGGGGAGACCCCCCTGCAGTGCTGGGGCAGCTCTGGAGTCCTCAGCACAGCAGAGACAGGGACCTGCTGGAGCAGGGCCAGAGGAGCCCCAGCAATGACCCGAGGGGGGAACCCCTCTGCTGGGAGCCCAGCAGGAGAGAGTTGGGCTGGGGCAGCTGCAGAGGAGAAGGCTCCAGATGGGGAGACCTTCTGGGGGCCTGTCAGTATCTGAAGGGGCCTGTCAGAAAGGTAGGGACAGACTTTTTGCAGGGCCTGTTGGCACAGGACAGTGGGCGATGGTTTTAAACTACAAGAGACATGATCTGGACTAGATATAAGGAACAATTTTGTACAGGGAGGGTGGTGAGCCCCTGGCCCAGGTTGCCCAGAGAGGTGGTGGATGCCCCATCCCTGGAACCATTCCAGGTGAGGTTGGCCGGGGCTCTGAGCAACCTGCTCTAGTTGGGGATGTCCCTGCTCCCTGCAGGGGGGTTGGCCTGGATGGCCTTGAAAGGTCTCTTCCCACCCAAACCAGTCTGTTATTTGATCATTCCACCTCTAGAGGAGGTCTGAGCTGACCAGGACTTGCAGTGTGGTGGGGCGGTCTGTCAGCTGAGCAGCCTGTTGTCAGCAGGAGCAGGAGCTGAATCCCAGCCCCAGTTGCAGAGGGTGGCTTTGTGTTGCTGCTGCAGCTGAAGGACACTGGGATGTGGGAGCAGAGGGAGCCTGGACCCTGCGCTGTGGTGGTAGATCCTGTCACACAGGATGAATATGGTGTTTTCTACTCATCCAATCTTTTTCCAGTTGCTTCTGCTAGTCAGCTCTAATGATTTCCTTGGTTTTATGTGGCTGCTTTGGTTGTACATAATTTATAGAAGGCTAAAATGGATTTTAAAAAGCGCTTTTATCTCCTGCTTGGGTAGTTGTTCATTATATTCTCAAGATGTATCATCTATTAATCTCCTTTGAAAGGCCAGTGCTGCTGTCCTGTCCATATGCTGAAGACACGTGACTGTTCTTCAGTGATACTGCACAGCATTAGGAGGATGTCTCCTGCTGCACCTCCTTCCAGGCCTGCCTGCCCCTGCAAAGCCCTGCATCTCCTCACCCCTGCTCTTTCAGACACACCAGATTGTGTCTGCTTGCCCTCAGCTGTGACTCAGGTGCAGGAGGCTTGAATGTAAACACAAAGCATGTGGTCCCCAAGGAGACTGGAAGAAACATTTATGTACATTTGGTGTTCACTTGATGATCAGCATTGATGTGACTTGAATTACACATCCTATTGGAAATACATGTGCTCGATTTCTGCAGATTATTAATCCTGCATTTGGATAATCTCAGCCTGGAATAGCCCCAAAGAGCATAATTCTCAAATCAGAAAGTTCTAATGTTTGTGATGGCTTCAAATTTGATGTTACTATCAAATTATTGGTGGGTTGAGGTCAGCTGTATGAGGTTTAACGAGGCCAGGCGCTGGGTTCTGCAGGTGGGTCACAGCCGCCCCCTGCAATGCTCCAGGCTTGGTGATGAGTGGCTGGAAAGTGTCCAGTGGAAAAGGACCTGGGAGGGGTTGGTGGACAGCTGACTGGAGATGAGCCAGTGTGTGCCCAGGTGGCCAAGAAGGCCACCACAGCATCCTGGCTTGGACCAGCACTGATGTGGCCAGCAGCAGTAGGGAAGTGATGGTGCCCCTGGACTGGGCACTGGGGAGGCCACAGCTTGAGCACTGGGGTCAGGTTTGGGCACCACAGGATAAGAAAGACCCTGAGGGGCTGGTCCAGAAAAGGGCAGTGAAGCTGGTGAGGGCTCTGGGGAACATGGCTTGTGAGGAGTGGCTGAGGGACCTGGGGGTGTTTAGTCTGAAGAAGTGGAGGCTCAGGGGAGACCTTCTGGCTCTTGACAACTCCTTGAAAGGAGGCTGGAGTGAGGTGGGGGTTGGTCTCTTCTACCACATAACCAGCAACAGGACAAGAGGCAATGGGCTGAAGTTGTGCCAGGGGAGGTTTCAACTGGATATTAGGAAGAATTTCTTACCTGGAAGAGTGGTGAAGCCTTGGCCCAGGCTGCCCAGGGAGGTGCTGGAGTCCCCATCCCTGGAGGGGTTCAAAACACTTGTGCACATGGCAGTAGAGGACGTGGTTTAGTGGTCCTGGTAATATTGGGTTGATGGTTGGACTTGATGATCTTAAATGTCTTTTCCAAGCTTAGTGATTGTAGGATTCTACCACCTATAAAACAGCTGCAAATTCCTCTCCACCTCTTTTTTTTTTTTTTTCCCCTTTACATGGCAAACTGAACTCAGCGTGTTACAAAAGGCATCAAATCTCAAGTCTTTCCAGCTTGGCAACTCTCTTATCTAGCAATCAGATGAGTACCAAGACTGCAGACATCATTCCCAAGCTGTTCAAAAGCAACTAGTGACTTCGGAAGTATCTCTTCTGGCGGTGAAGAAAGCTGGCTGAAGTTGATCAGACCAGTCCACTGGTTCTGACACTGCCCAGCTGGGGATGTTGGGAAACAGTGGGGGAGGAGTCATAGTGCCCAGTACCCTCTCCCAGCTCTTGGCAATATGTGCTAGGGGCTCCTGGAGGACAGAGCTTCAAACAGTTCTGGATTTGTTGGTTTCTCACACAAACTTTTCTCATTTCTTCTTGAGTCCATGTAACATTTAGCACCTGCAGGATCCTGTGGCAGCCAGTGCTACAGCTTCTTTCCATGCTGTGCCAAAAAGGCAGCCATTTTCCCTTTCTTTTTGCCTTTTCATTCCCATCATCTGAAGTGATTTCTTGGCTGGCACTGAATGTGCAGCCCCATGAATTCTTCTCTGGTTCAGAGACGGTTGCTTTGTATGTAAAGCTCATGCTGCTTTTCCCACATGCATCACTTTGCACCCACCAATATTGATTTTCCTCTGCCATTTTATCACCCCATCATTCAATATTGCAAGGATCTCCTGCAACTCTTCGTGGCTGCCTTTCATTTTTATTGCCCTACCCAAGGGAGCATCATCACTAGACTTCTCCTCGCTGTTCTTCTGCTCTTTTGTCCATTGTTCATGATCTTGTTGAAGTGCAGAGGCTCTGAGTCTCTCATGAACCCACTTGTGGGACATCCAGCTTTGACTTCATTTTCTCAAGGCTGCTGATCAGGCTGTTCAGGTCTTTATGAATTTGTTTAAGCTTTTTTGGAAGCCTTTTGCATTTGAATTTCTCTGTCCTTACCACCTAAAAGTTTCCTTAAAATGTAGTGGACTTGGCAGTGACAGGTTAACAGTTGGGCTTGATGACCTTAAAGGTCTTTTTCCAACCTCAACGATTCTGTGATACTATGTTTTTATGTCTTTATAGTCACTGTACACTAAAATGTTTAAGAGAAAGTTGTCTTACTAATTATACAATCGTAGAATCCTTTAGGTTGGAAAAGACCTTTAAGATCATAGAGTGCAACCATAAAAATTTATTAGGGTTAATAATAAAGTTATTCAAGTTTAAGAGCAGCTGAAAAGCAGCATCAAGGTTCTCTTGAGTGTGGCTTCTCCTTTTTTACAACAGAGCTTCACACGCTGCGTCCCTTGGTACTCTGACCAGCTCAACAGTGACCGTTGGAGGGAGAGCTGGAGCCCTTTCCTGTGATTTCCACTTGGATTTAGGAAGCTTATTCGTTGAGTCTTCTTATATATTTAGGAAAGTGTTAAAGTCCAGGATGGCATGACTTTGGATTCTCTAGACCTGAGGCAAGTGAGGAATATATCACTTTTAAACCCCAGCAGTTATTGGCCATACAGGATTCAGAGAAGAAAAAGAAAATACTTGATATTTTCCTTGTATGTTGTGTGCTTTCATTTTCCTCGCCCCCATTTTGAATTTAAAAGGCAGGTTTTTTGCATTCACTGCTTTGCTCCTGTGATTGAACTATGTAACTGAAGGAGGCTTTAAATGATGTTTTGAATGTGCTCCCAAGAAATGATTCATCTGGTCTCTGTAAGTGTGCTCAGATTTGAATTTGAGTCACATGAAATACTGGCTGGACTAAATGATTGAATCAGGGGCTTCTAATTGTATCAGTTGTGGTTTTCCATCTTCTTAAGCAGCAGACTCTTGCTGAGGTTCAGCTGTGGTAGTTGTGGGGAGAGAAAATGTCCAGAGGAAGCAGACATCTCTGTAGTGAAAATCCTTCTCCATTCCATGTACACGTTGGTCCGAAAATGTTAAATTCTTATTGGTTTTTTTTCCCAGGAAGCAGACTTTTTTCCAGGTAACCCTGGCTACACAGAGCCTGGTATTCAAGTAGAGGAATTCTCAACAATGTCTTCAGGAAAAGGGTGAGTGAAGTGGTAGCTGGGAGTCTCCCGACAGTGTATATGTGGAGTGGGAGATTGTCACCAAAGTCACTGACAGACCCCAAGGCTTGAGAGGATGGGAAGCACCAACATTTGAACAAAGCATGGTGAAATCTTTGAGTTTCGGGAGGGTAAGGACCTCCAGGAGTACTTGCCTCCCCTCCTCTGGGAGAATATTTCCTAGAATACCCTGGTTAGGCTGTTTTATACTAAAATTACTTCAAAGCTTCCTGATTTGTCCTGTAATTCCTATACTGAGCTCATGAGAGATCAGTCCCTGCAGCAAAGCTGATAACACAGGCAAGCACTCACGGGAAGACATCCTTGTCTCTTAATTAATCCTTGCCTGTTAACCCGTGTCCCTGGGGAAGGGAGAGGAGACCCTTCAGGTTTTGCAGGATTGGGCAGGAGAAGTCACGCTGCTGGGACGTGCAGCAAAGCAGGGACCAGAGTTAAGCCACAGCTGAGGGAATCATCCTGGTCATCTGCTCTGTGTTTCAGCTTTCCAGAGCTCTACGCCCGCAGTGATGCCACTGCCCCCGAGCAGAGCTCCTCCCCTGGCCTCCCAGCCCTCCACGCTGCCCTCCCTTCTCAGGTAAGTGGGAGACTCACATCATGGTCACACCGCTGCCTCTGCTGCTGACGGGTCACCAAGGTCCACGTCTGCACCACGCTCTAGTGGTCCAAAGTCAAGTTTTCTGCACTCTAGATATTCATCTGCCTCCATTCGGATGCTCCAGTGGCAGGGGGTGGTGCTCTCTACCTTTCCGTTGAGCTTATTAATCAAAGTCTTGCCATCTAGATGATAAGAAAAAGTCCTTTTCAACCATACAAGAGCTGTCTCTCTTGACATGTCCTGTGCTATGTGACTTTTAGGCCCATCTTCTCTTTTGGCTCTACAAATGCATTTGTACACCAGCTGTCCACGACAGCTCAGAGGTACCTACACACAGGAAATCACTGTGTGCACATCCAGTATGTGTTCATTAAATGCCTGTTCTCTGTCATTGCTGTAGAGTATCTCAGCCTTAAACTGTAAAATGTTCTTGGTCTTGGGTCATACCTAATGCTCGTTACTGAAAATGGGAAGAACTAAAGAGGTGGCAAATAAAAAGCTTTCTGTCTCGTTAACTTTGGGCTGATGAAGTGACTGCCCTTCTCTTGGGCCACTTGCTTTCACAGCGACAGAAAAAAAGAAGAAAGAAGATGCATAAATCTTCTTCCTCTGCAACAGGGAGCAGATCTAGGACATGCAGCAGACCTTGGCCCTCTTCTCCAGGCCCCCACTCAGGTGAGAGTGCAGCAGGCAGCTCCTCTGCTTCTGGGCTGGTTTTCTGGCTGCTGGCACACAGAAACGAAGTGTGACGGAAACCCAGCACGGGCAGAAAGTTAACTTGCCTAAGAAGGGAAAGTGAGTGCTTCTGAGGGCATGGGGATGCTCTGGAGTGATCAGACTTCTTCAAATCTAATGTTGTGTCAATAGAAGTGTGATTTTCTTTAGTGGGTCAGCCGTAGCAGAGTTCCTGGTCTTGCTGATGTCTTGCTGGTACTGAGGAAGAAAAACCTCTTTCAGCTTTCTTCTCCCTTTGTTTCCATCTGTAGAGTTTCCAGCCACAGCTGCTGCCACCTCATCTTCCCACAGCCTTCACCTCTTAGCACCAGCTTTCCCTCTGAGAGCTGCTGGCCTCCCCAGCAGCACCAGTCTCATCCAGGCAGCAGGACCCCCAGCTGACTGTCACTCAGAGTCCGCTGAGTCCATCGATGAGATTCCTGTGGCTCAGACTCGCCTTGGGAGCATGGCCCTTCATGGGCCTCCTCAGAATAACTCGAGCAACTCTCAACCCTCTCCCTTGCCCACAGACAGTCCCAGAGGTGACAAGAAGAAGAATCTGTATTCTGGGCACAAGGTAAAAAGGAAAAGCTGCCAGCAAGACAGACGTGTGGTACGAGACCTGGAACTTTTTTCTAAGGTCCCTGCTGTGTTTGTCAGTAGGAGCAGTGGAGAACCTCCTGTCTCCCAGCCCCGTGAGAGCACAGCCGAGCCACAGCACAGAAAATGTGCCAGCAAGCAGCACGTGGGCAGACGTGAGCCGTGCTTGAGGGACATAAGGACAGACACCACAGAGGCCTAGCGATCAGCTTTGCGAAACCATAGCCTTTGGGGACGAAGCAAGAGGTTCTCTTTCTCTCCGTTATGTTGCTGTTTGAAGATCTTGACTCCAAGGTCTTTCTCCCTGGAGGCAGCAGCGTCCCTTTACCCAGTGCTGTCCCTCTTCCAGCAGTAAAAACCCTGATGCATCCTTGCTTCTGGCTGCTGCCTCTTCCTAAGCCAGGAGTGCCCCTGAGCCCAGCTCTAGGCTCCGTGTCAAGGGGGAGAAGGCTCCCCTGACAAGGACATGCCCAGGGCTGCCCCTGGTTGGGGACCAGCAGCGTCAGTGCTCTGTAGAGGGCTGAGGGCTCAGCCCTCTACAAGCACCGTGTGCTTGCCGTCAGACCTCAGTAAGACGTTTCTTCTAGCCAACCAAAGGCAAGAAGGTGCCAAACCTGAGGCAGGCATGTTGCTAGAGAGAGAGCTCGAGTGCTTTCCAGAGGAGAAGGCTGTGCCCACCTGTCCCTCTGCAAGCAAAGAGAAGCCCACGGTCAGGGATCGTGTCTATGCTGCCTTGCCAGAGTTTCCCAAGGGCTGTCCCAGGGAGTGCTCAGCCTGGGTGGACCTCTCTCTGAGCCACACTTGTCCCAGAGACCCTTCAGCAAAGGGATGAGGCCTCACCAGGACAGAGTAGAAGGGGAGAAGAACCTCCCTCGACCTGCTGGCCACAGTCTTCTGAATGCACCCAGGAAACCATTTGCCTTTGTGGCCATGAGGGCACATGGCAAGTGCCCCTGAGCAGACCTCATGTGTTTCCTTCCCCTTTGTCCCCACAGAACCAGCATCAAAGTCATGTTGTGGAGCTCTTTAGTAGCCATGTCCACAATAAAATTTTCTATGCCCTTTCCTAAATGGTTTCCTCCTTTTTTGTGGCCATTCATTTATCTGCCTGGTTGATGGTCCACCCCACTTTTCCCTGACCTCTGGTGTCCCAGCTGGGGTGAGCACCTTAACCAGTGTAGGGATGACAGTGGTCCCCTCTCTGCAGGGCCTGGTGATGTTAGGTGGGACTGCCTCCCCTGAGGGGTAGGGGCTGGGCCACCTTCTCCAGGAGGTGTGTGACTGCAGCCTGGTTTCTGCATGGCAGCACGGGGAGCACCCCAGTGTGGAGCCCCACATGCTGCTGGGCTGTACGGGTTCTGTCCTGCCCCACAGGTTTCTCCACAGGGAACAGGAGCCAATGTGTGTGGTTGGAGGCCAACAGGATGCCCTGCAGACCCTGATTTGGGAGTTTCTCTGGGTAGGGGAGACATCCTTCTGCTGCCTTCAGCTGAGACAAGGGACATTTTCTCCCTTACATCGAGTACTAAAGGAAGCAGAAAATCAAGGCTGTAAAATGTGATGTACCTTGTCTGTGCATTGGGGCAGCTGGGTGCTGAGTGAAGAGCAGCTGGGTGCTGAGTGAAGAGCTCTCCTTCTCTGGAGAGCTCCCAAATCCAGCAGGATGTGACCCTCGGCAAACTTGCTCTGGGTGACCCTGCTGGAGCAGGGTGGTTGGACAAGATGATCTCCCGAGGTCCCTTCCAACCCCAGCATGCTGGGATTCAGTGATAATGAGCACCCAAGAGTGAAAACAGTGAGAGTGAGATGGTTTGAGCTCCTGGGAGAGCTGCTCTCTGCCCCAGATCAGGTTCCAGCATTGCAAGTGCAGATCAGAGTCTCAGCTGAGCTGCTTTGTGCTGGGAGGACTTTTTGCAGAAGCTGCTTTGCAACATGAACCTCAGGACCCTGGTGCTGTTTGTGGTATCCCATGAAGTCATGGAAGTTGTCCACAACAGCCAGCTGGCATCCACACCAGGATGGACACAGCTCCTTCCCCACCTCCGTTCAGTCCTTTTGGGACCCTAACACCAATATCCTGTGAGTTCAGCTGACAAGGGATTTTCTGCTGCCCTGGGTGAGGAAGGTCCACAGCAGACCTGTGACAGAAGGAGTCACATCAGGGTGCTGCTGCAGAGGCCAACGTGTGGGCAGGAGGGACCTGGCCACCACACCAGAGGGTCGCAGTGACCATGAGCTAAGCCCTTGCTACAGCCCAAGACCATCGGAGGGCTGGGTGATGGTGACAGCAGAAGTCCTGATGCCTTCAGCTCCCCATCGCTGCAGAAACATTGAGGTCTGGCATCCCCGAGCATCATCTCCAGCACTACATAGAAGGATTTTGCTGGGACATGAACTCTCCCATCAGCAGGACACAGTGCCCTGGCGTGCCCATTTCCACCACAAGACGCTGCAGCTCTTTGCTAGCAAGAAGGGATGTGTTTCTAGGACGATGACAGCTTTCCAGTGTCCTCTAAAATCAGAAATCACGATCCCTGGCTGCTCCCCAGGAGCTGTCCCAGGAGTTGCAGCGCCTGCTGGCAGCCCCGGCGTGGGACGTACACCCTGCCTGCTTTCACTTTTGCTCCTGCCTCGAGTTTCTTCATTTTCTCTTTGAAGTCAAGAGAACCTCCCTTTGGGAGACGATCTTTGGCGAGTCTGTTCCTGGGCTCTGCTTTGAAACATCCCGAGAGCATCTGGCAGGGCTGCCTTGGATGGCAAGCGGTGGGAAGGGAAGCTCCCGCAGGAGGGCGGAGCATTTTTCCCCCTCCTTTGTGCCCGGTGCCATGCCTCGCAGCCAGGTCCTCAGCTCGGGTGGCAGATCCCCTTGGCTCTGCACAGCCGGCACGTACACCCAGCGTGTGCACCCGGCGTGGACAGCCGCCGCTAAGCCCCGTCAGCCTTGTGGACAGGCTGTTGCTGGGGTGACCGTACACAGATTGCACAACGCCCGAAACACTTCCCTCTGTTTTGTAGCAACTTGCAGCGTTCCCGCGTAACCTCACCCCACCCCGAGCCAGCGGCTGCTTGTTCCTCGAACGGGATGGCTCCGGGGAGCCCGCGGTGCCCGGCCCCAGGGGAGGCCGGAGGCGAAGAGGGTGGAGGGGGAGCACGGAGGGTGCTCCGAGGTTGCCGAGCTGTTCCCCGGAGCAGTCGAAGCACCCCGGGGCTCTGCATGAAGGTGGGGGGATCGGCATGGGCCTGGCAGGGGCAAGCATGGCATCTAGGGTCGTGTCTTGGTGGCACTGAGTGCTGGAGTTCTGTGGCTCGTTAAGCTCCCCGGGACGGGAGACAGCCTGGGAAGGTCCTGACCTTTCCTGGAAACCATAAGAAGGGAAAAGTCCCTGGGGAGCTGAGCACCGAGTCAGGTCTGTGTTCTTCCACCACATCACAGGACCTGTGTGACCTCCTCCTCAGCTCCTGTCCATGCCATGGGCTCCAGACCAAGCCACGGCCCCCTCCCGGGCTTCCTTTTCCGGGCTGCTTGAGGAACAGCAGGACCCGGCCAAGGACCGTGCTCCATCCCAACAGGGCTGTCATGGTGACAACAAACGCACAACAAACCCTGGCCCTTAGGAACCGAAACCTGACCTGCTCAACCCGACCCCGTGGGGCAACTCGCCAAGCCCTGGCTGGGTGCCACCCGCTCGCCTGGCTCTCCTCATGTGCCACCTCTTTTCTCTTCAGGCTCTGCAGCCCCTGGGGCTGGCTGGAGCTCCAGAAGAGCTGCCGATGTGCCCAGCTCCTGCTCTGCTCCTCCTGCTGCCAGAGCTGCTGCAGGCAGGATGCTCTGGAGCTCCTCTCCAGAGCTGTTGGCTGGAAACAAAGCCAAGGACACCTGCTTCCGTGGGGAGCTGCAGGGCAAGCTAAGGATGAGGTGGTACCTTCAGCAAGGCTTAACCACCCTCCTTGATAGGGCAGCCCCTATTAGGACCCTCTCCTTGAAGCAGGGAGCAGGCGAGCAGCTCTTCCTCACCCTCTGTGAGGGGGGACAACAGCCTTAGGTTCTTGCTGGCCTGGGTGGAGGGTGGTTTAAATTCCCACTCACAGTAACCTCTGAACTCCTGCTCTTTGGAACCTGCTTTCATGTTTTGTGAAGAGTGGGAGGCACATGTATTCAGGGTCCTCCTGGTGCCACCTCTGACACAAGCCCTGGCACGCTCCTCCAGGGAGGGAGGTACAGGTAGTGACCCCAAATCAGAGGCTCACAGAGTTGGCTGGTGGTCACCTCTGGAGATTTCTGGACCCTGCTCCAAGCCAGGATCGGTATGAGCAGGTTGCTCAGGGCTTTGCACAGCAGCAGCAACCCGCACACTGGGTCCCCTCGTGCGAACAACTGCTGGTGACACCGGGGCTGGCTGGGAACCCTATGCAGGGGAGGACCAGGAGCACCAAGGTAGGAGCAAGCTCTGGGCAAACAGCTGAGGTGGGGCTTCACGTGATGTGGGTTGTGTCAGGACTCCATGGCAACCACAATATTTGGGTGCTGCTTCAGCCCACAGCACCTGCCAGGAGCCCCATGTGTGGTCAGGCTGTGGGTGAGGCTCTGGGTGGCACACAGCCGGCTGTCCCCAGGGTTACTTTGAGGGTGTCCCACCAGGCCACACAAAGGGGACATGCACTCGCTGTGGTGCCCAGCATGCCAGGATGGTTGGTGTTTGTCCCTGAGGCCTGGGCAGTGGTCTTTGGTCCATGATGTCACCCACTGGGAGGGCTGGTTCCTGGCATGCTGGCTGTGTGGGACAGGGAACAGGGCTGTCAGGGGGAGCCTGTGGTGGCAGGGTGGTGGAGAGCCCTTGGGGTGGTGGAGGGGTCTTGTGGGGTGGAGGAAAGATCTTGTGGGGTGGAGGAAAGATCTTGTGGGGTGATGGTGGGGCCTCGTGGGGTGATGGAGAGACCTTGTGAGGTGATTATGGGGTGACGCGGGGTGGTGGAGGGGCTTCGTGGGATGATGGAGCAACCTTGTGGGGTGCTGGTGGGACCTTGGGGGTGCTGGAGGCGCTCCGTAGCGTGCTGGAGGGGCCTCCCGGGCTGCCGAAGGGCGTCCCGGG